TTTAACTTTGTGAAGATGTTTTTATCCTGTCACTTGAAGCAAAGGGTCGTCACACTTTGTGTTTGCACTCTTCTTTGAACATTTTGGAGACAACATATTAGTCTGAGTAACAGATTTTTCTAGAACACCCCCCCCAAAAAATGTTTGGCCTCCATTGAAAACCTGGGGTCCTGTGTAGTCACACCCTGCAATATCCCCACCTCACTCCTCCCCACTAGTACCACACTCACCCCATTCCAGTCACCTCACTCTTCCTCAAACACACCAGGCACAGTCCTACCTCAGGACCTTTGCATGGGCCTGCTACCTGAGCTGCTCTTCCCTTAGATACCTGCTTGGCTCCCTCCTTCACCTCCTTCAAGCTGAGACCTTTGCTGACCACTCTAAAAATGTCATTTGCACTCATATTCTGACTTCTTGTTCTGTTCTATTTTGTTCTTTTATAAACAAATATGAAATTTACTGATAACCTGTCTTCCAATATAGGTGTGTCCCACAGGACCTGACACACACTAGGCATTTAATAAATGTGCATGGAATGAAGAAGGTCTGAAAAGCTTTAGTCCAGTGGTGGGTGGAGGAGCGGCACATCCCGACACATACTCAGGTCTGTGTCTCTCCCTGGTGGTTGATCTCAGACCTGCAGCCTGGTAACCTCAGCCATCCCCTCCACCCCCCAAACTTCCCAATACCCACCAGAGCCAGAGGCCACAGAGGTACTGTCAGTGGTGGCCAAGGGCATGGAGGGGGACTCTGTTCTGGGGTTAGAGGAAGTGGAACTCCAGTGCAGGGTCAAGGTGATGAGGCTTGGGGGGGCTGGAGTGGGAGGTAGGGGTGAGCTCTGAATTGAGGGAGCCAGAACTGGGGTGGGGGATTGTCTCTGGTTGTGGGGAAGCAGGATTCAACCCTGAACTTGTAGAGCTGGAGCTGGGCTGAATTGTGGGGTTTGCCTCTGAATGTGAGGGGCTGTAGGGGCTAATAGAGTCTGCCTATGAACTAGGGGTACTGAGGTGGATAGTGGAGCCTGCCTCTGAACTTGGGGAGCTGAAATGGTTGGTGTAAGTTTCCAATAAACTAGGGGAGCTGTGGCTGGAGGGAAAAGAAGTCCAAGGTTTGGAAGTTGAGGTCTTGGTGTCTCTCATAACACCTGGAAAGAAAACACCATCAAGGATACAGGGAGAGGATGATTAGGAACAAGTGTGGGTGGCCCCCTCTCTGGATGTCTCTTTCTCTATACCCCAGATAGTACACCCCTGCCTCCTAGGGGGATGTGGAGCATTTACTATACCATGTGAGTCTTCAGTGGGAAGAGGAGGTGCCTTGTCTGAAGCTCGTTGTCTGAAGTCCCATAGGCTGGGTTCCAGTCCAAGTTGGACCCTCCCAGATCCCACTTTTGCTACAGGGCTCCAGAAGCCCTCTGCATACAGGAAATGGCTGCAACCCAGGCAGCATGCCAGGCAACATTTTAAACCTTCTAGGACTCAAAGTTTCCTTGTCTATAAAGTGGACATCACTGGCCATCAGCGCCTCTGAGAGTTCATGCAGGTCTGCTACACAGACCAACCTCAGAGCTCCCCAGGGAAGATCTGCCCTAATCTTCTTCCACAGGTACCTGGAAGGTCCCCATGGCAAAGCTCAGAATTTTAATGTGGGGGACAGAGGCCTGAGTTCTGGCAACAGTCAGCAGATCAAAGCTCCAGAACCCTCCCCCACAACCTTGTTCCAGCCGCTGCCTGCTCCTACCCCTCCCAGGCACAGAGCACAGGGGCTAGGCTGAGGGTAGGTAAATATTTCATGGGCCACCTCCCACAATGACTTCCTTCCCAGTTCCAGGCTGCTGGGCACCTTAGCTGCTTGCAAGTTCTTTCATCGACCACTACTTGCCCTACCCTGTACACTCTACCCTGGGCAGCTCTTTGTGCCTCCTTTCTTGCCTCATCCCAGGCAGCAGAAATGCAGAAATAACACCCAGCACTGGGCCCAGCAGGTGGCTGGGTCCACA